GGGTGGTTTCACCTGGCAGGGCCTTTTGCGCGCGGTTGGCCAGGGTGACAGCGGGGTTCTGGGCACCTCATCACCGTGTACAGGTGACCAAAGGCATGAAGGAGGATTTGCGTATCTGGCTTCAGTATCTGGCAGGGTACAATGGGGTTACCATTTGGCAGCGCCCGATGGACTTACAGGATGTCATCCAGATCCACTCTGATGCAGCAGAGTATTCTACGACGGCCGGTGGTGCACTTGGCCTTGGCCCAAGGGCTGGGAGGGATCTGAAATGCTCAAGGATCACACCTTCTTGGAGCTCTTCCCAATACTGGTGGCGGTGGTTGTTTGGAGGGATCTCTTTTGAGATAGGAGAGTGCAGTTTTGGTGCGACAACCAGGCAGTGGTTTGGGTGGTGAACAAGCAGTCTTCAAAGTCCAAACGTGTGATGCGGTTGGTTCGCCGACTGGTTTTAGCCTGCTTGGCCGATAACATTACATTTTCGGCACGTCATGTCCCTGGTGTGGATAACAGCATAGCGGATGCTTTGTCTCGCCTACAGGAGGAGCGTTCCCGCACCCTTGCACCAGAAGCCAACTGTGTTTCAGACCCATTTCTGGAGGAGCTTTTGGAACTTGGGAAGGTACAATAATGCGGGGCATCTATGGCTCCATCGTCCCCTCCACTTTTACCACGTACGCCAAGGCTATAGATGCCTTTTTTGACTTTACTGCAGGGTGCAGGGGTCCACAAACCTTGTCGGTGGATGGTGATTGGGTGCTTCGCTACATAGCATGCCTCCAGGCTAACGGGTTCTCCCATAGCACCATTCGGGGTCACATGGCAGCCATCGTGTTCTTTAGTAAGGCAGAAGGGTTCAGGGACCCATGCCACTCGTTCTGGGCCTGTAGAGCTGTTGAGGGATGGTGGAGGCAGGCTGCGTGGCCCCCGGATTGTCACCGGCCTTTGACCTTTGATTTATTGGTGCGGGTTTTGCGGGAGCTTTTGGCGTTGTATTGGTCCCCGTACAAGACCACACTATTTGAGACCGAGTTCATGCTGGCCTTTTTTGGGGCCTTGAGGGTCGAGGAACTGGTGGCGAGCTCCAGAGTTTCATTCACCGATATGTCCCTGGGAGTTCGGGATGTTTCCTTTGAGTCAAAGGGGATTCATTGTATATCAGGAAGTCAAAGACTGATCAATTAGGTAAAGGGGCGAGCTTGCACCTGGGGCCTCTACAGGGGGGCCATGCCTGGTGCAGATCATGAGGTCCTTTCTGGCGATGCAGCCTCTGAGAGGCAGTCCCCTGATCATCCATAGGGATGGGCTGTGAATATCAGTTCACGGGCATTCTCAGAGCAGCACTGGGGGATTTGGGCTTGCCTGGCAAGGAATCCGGGCCTCACTCCTTTAGGATCGGGGCAGCTACTATGGCAGCGGGCATTGGCTTGCCTGAGGTGCACATATGGACCATAGGGTGATGGTGCTCTGTGGTCTTTAGGGGGTACGTCAGGCCGTAGCTGGAGAGCAGCCTGTAAAGTCTCTTTGACTCCTTGGTTCCAGGATGCACACACAGGACAGTCTGGATTTTTGGGCATAGCATCGTTCATTGGGCAGGTTTGTATGCTTCCTCATCAGGTTGGGGCAAGGACTTGGGCCTGGGGGCAGGGGTAAGCATTACGTGGATGGCCCAGCGGGGTATGCGGTGGAGGTCCTTGTTGCCCTGGTTGGAACGTGTGGGGGCCAGGCACCATCCTCCGGATGTGCTGCTACTGCAGCTCGGGGAGAATGATTTGACGGAGCACCCAGGTGCTTGCTGACCTGGCCTCCTTGCACAAGCATTTGCCCAGCATGGTCTTCATCTGGTCAGATTGGTTGGAACGGAGGTCATGGCGAGGAACAGCTCATCCCAAGAAGGTGGAGGTGGCGAGGAGGAAGGTGTCTGGCAGGCTGGGCAGAGCAATTGAGTTGGCAGGTGGCGTTTGGATTCACCACCCAGACATCTCCCACAGGATGGAGGCCCTGTTTCGGGTGGACGGAGTGCATCTCTCTGCCTGGGGTATGGATATCTGGTTGCATGGTGTCCATCACTCCCTACTCTCTTGGCTACAGCTGTAAGGGCGTTGGCAGGAGCAGGGCAAAAAGGGGTGTCCTGCTCTTGTGGTGGTAACAGTATGGGGCCAGATCAGTTTGCGGAAATTGGCCTGCGTGCCAATTCCGGAGTTGGGGACCCCTTTAAGGGTCTTGGCATGAGGGCTGAAGGGAGCAAGCAAGCTCAAGGACTAACAGCGTTTGCCCTCATGGCCAGATGGCAGTGGAGTTCACAAAGGGGCGGGCATCCGTGTGAACTCTGACAACCTGCCATCCCACAGTCTATACCCATGCCGGCTGGCTGGGTAACGGATACCTCAGCTGGTGTGCAGGTCAGCTGATAGATCGGATCTGGTAGACCCATATTCTGCCAATGCTTTACAGCTGTGACCAATAAAGTTGTGGTCAATTTTATCCACCTAATTTCCAAAGAAATCTGTTGTGTGAGGGTTCATTTAAACTAGGCTGATAAGACCTGAAACCACAATTCGTTTCTCGCTGCTTGCTTATCGCCCTATAGCCTGGGATGGTGACCTTGGTACCTTGTTGTTCATTTCTCTGGGAATGTTCACAGTTAGGTTAGGCGGGCTTTTGTTTTAGTCTTGATTGGCCCAGGGTCATACCCTGACCCCTTTGAATCCTGTATATGACTTCATTACGTGCGCTTTATTTCAGTTCTGACACTGAATGTATGCACAGATGACCTGTCTTTACCGTCTTCAATAAACTTTACTCTTCGGAAATAAAGTTGTTGAGAACTGATTGCTGTGGGACTCTGACACCCCTTTTCCTTCCCTGAAAGCCCCCATTGCCACTCTCATTTTACTGCTTCCTTCTTTTCTTCACAACCACCAGTCAACCTACCTATATCCTCCTCCTTGTCTTCACCTTTTCCCTCCTTCACTCTCCCTGGCAGTCTTTACCTGGGCAAACTATGGCCCAGTTGCACAAAGCTGGTCATTGTATCAGGCCCAGTTCTATGGTAGGGGAGCCACAAGAACTTGTGAGGCGCAATTCACTTACCCTTCTATTCCACATTCCCACACTATTTCCTCCTTGTCTCCTCTTGGCAACCCCCCTATCTTCAGCTTTCCTTGTTTCCTTCTCTCCTTCCCATCCACCCACCCATCTTTTATCTTCCCCTCATCTTCAGCTTCATACTTCATTTAAACCCCACCTTTCTCCACAATGGGACCCCACAATGCTTATATCATTCTAATCTCTTCTATTTTGTGCCTGGCATTCAGCGGGAGCTATAGGGGCAGGGAGAGGGCATGGTGTCATGTGCACTGTGATGTCACTTCCAGTGAAAACCTGGAAGTGATATTGGGTAGGTCTAGGATTTTCTGGAAAGTGTTTCTGGCAATTTCTAAATCTACCTGATGCCACTTCCAGTATTTCCTTGAAAGTGGCATCATGCTTTCTGCTCCCCACAGAACTTGGCAGGGAGAAGAAAGCAGGGGTTTAAATGGCTTTGAGCTTTCTACTCCCCACTGCTTTTGGCAGGAGCAGAAAGCAATTGTCACAAACTGAAATGAACCGGTTCAGTTCTCCTATGAGCCTCTGGTTTGTGGTTTGGGTTGTGGTTCGGTGATGAACCACGAACCAAAATGAACTACAAAAATGTGATTCATGCCCATCCCAAGTCACATAGGATCAAATTTGTGGTGGCTCCTTTAAAGGCCAAAACTGCTATGGAAAGAGCCCTCCTCCTGCAGCATTTTTTCTGAGAGAAACCAGGGCTTGAGGTCTGGCCATACTGTCATGCTTGCCAAGCACGATCATTGAGGTCATCTATGTCCTAAAGCTACAAGTGTTCCTTTTATAATGGGGGAGGGGGGTTAACACCCCAAAGTATTATTTTAGATTTTGGCTTTTTCAGGAAGCTTTTTTTTTTTTGAGTTTGGAAAAAGATCCTTTTTGTCTGTTCATGGCTCCATTCTCTGGATTTAGGTCTCCACAGATTTGAAGACATTGAGAATTAGATATATTGATTAGTTATTATTGTTACATACTCCCGACTTCTCCAAATGATGAAAAGTTCCAGACATAGTGCTTACCTGGGTGGGTTCCCTTTGCAGCCAAGAACAGTGGAAATTTATGGTATTATATAGTATTAACTTTATTTGCAAATGTTTAAATCAAACACAGGTGAAGAGAAAGAGTCACTCTGTCAGGGCTATAATTACCTCATATCAGATAGTGATAAAAGGAGAAAGAGAGAGAGAGAGATCAATCTTGTATACTCAAAGTCCTATAGCCGATTCCTAGCAATTTCTGTATTCTCTCTCTGAATCAAATCTATCCTTTCTAAACACAGAAAAGAACATCTCCTTTCTTCAGGGGGGAAGATGAAAGCCTAGATGGAGGATTAGAAAATGCCATCTCCCCAAAATTTAGGACCACTGAAGAGATTTCTACAATTGGTAAGAAATATCATTATCCCTTTTGTCACAGGCTCTGGTCTATGTTGGCATGCGACATTAGACTCAGCAGATTGGATAGTCATAGTAACTAGGTCCCAAACTCACAATATCATCACATAGATGTCCTTCTTCCTCCCTCCTTGTTGTGGGGTTTATCCCTATGCTTATGCAAAACATTCTCCAAAGGTTTCTTCATCTGAGCTTAGAAAATGACACCAGTGCTCAATCTTGTTCCCATGGAAGGTAGCTGATGATCCAAAAATGTCCTGCTGCAGAAAAAAATCATCTTGTTTTGTGGGAGTGGCCATGGGTCAGTGTTAAAGGGGAGAAGTGGCCCCTTAACAACTAACAACTGTTGTTCCAGCATGAACTTCTGTGAGTCAGAGCTCAGTTCTTCTTCAGAGGATGTCCTTCCTCTGAAGAAGTGAGCTCTGACTCACAACAGCAAAGGAGGGGAAAATGTTGTTAATCTCTAATTTGCCACTGGTCTTTATATTTTATTTTTCTATAGTAACAATCCCTCTGCAATCATAAGTGATAAGAGCATTTGCCTGGCATGCAGAAAGTCTCTGGTTCAATCCGCAACAACTCGAGTTAAAAGGAACAAATAATGAGTGATGTGTACAACCTCATATGTTGGAGAGCTGCTGCCAGCAAGAACGGAAAATATTGACTTGGACAGACCAATGGTCTGATTCAGTTTAAGGCAGCATCTTTAAATCAATAATTGGAGTGATGTGTGCATCTGAAACATGTTAGGGCTCTATGATAAAACCCGCCCCCTCCTTAGAACACAATGCCCATTGGATTAGTGAAGACAGCCATATTGGCTGGTCTTCACACCGTGCAATATTAGGAAAAGAGGAGGTTTTAAAAAGGCTGGTGGCAATGGAAGGAGTAAAATTCAAAAGTGGGACTCAGCCCATTATCCTTGTGCCCACTTCCAAAGTTCTTTTCCTTCCTAATACTCTTCGAAAGGCATTCTTCACCTCCTGGTTTCTCAGGGTGTAAATAAGAGGGTTGCAAAAGGGAATAATGATTGTATATAGCAGGGAGAGCAACTTGTTAACCTTCACAGATTCTGGGGTCTTGGG